TTCCAGTCGGCAAATTTAAATTTTCGCCAGTGCTGTGGCGCTTCAATCTTTGGCTATGTCTTGGGCTACTCAAATATTTTACGTTTTTGATACTAAATTAACATCTGAAGTATAACTTTTTATTATTTTTATATTTTTCAATATATTTATTTTGTTTGTACAAAATAAAAAAATAATTTTTAACGATACAATAGTCTTTGTTAGGCTTAACATCGACGAAAATTCAACACGCAACGGAAAAAAATTTCGACATCGGATACGTTAAACTATTTTTTCGTACGTAAATCAGTTATCCGGACAACCCCAGTTCCCAATTGATTCGGAAAATCGACGCTCTACTGTACTAAATAAGAAGTACTTTGTTTTATGTCCAATTTTGCATAATTTGATTTTAATATTGTTATGTTATTTGTATTGTCTGTTTGATTTATATTGTTCCATTTTCATGTTAAATGAAATCTATTTTGATTTTTCACTATTGACACTATCAGAAAAAAAATTTTTTTTTTGTTCTATGTCTATTTCCCTAATACTTCTCTTTCAACTAAACTTTAAAAATCAATTTCTTAAAAATGCAAATGTGGAGATAGAACAAAATGATTTTTACCAGTGTAATACACATCTCATCATGTTAAAAGTTTACTATAAATAATATCCTCACAATTTAAATAATCTCTTTATCGATTCATATAACCAGAATAAATTTAAAATTTCTTTCAATACATTTCATAGTAGGGACATAAACTTTAAATAATATTCATCTTTTATTACATATTATTATTCCAACAGTATTCCATCCTTTACACAGTTGTTCTGTTCTGTTTTTATTTAATTGTTTAATAGAAATGATTTATAAACAAATTTTATTATTATTTAATGTAATATATATTCATAAACAGCACTTTCAATTTTACCATTTAATTACTAACAAAAATTTTATATACTAAATGCATAAATGTAGGTATTTGCAAAATACTTACCAATTTAAAAATCATCCTAAAATTTTATAAATAATATGGTAGTATTTAATACTTAATATAAACATAACTACAAGTTCAATATTATATTTAAACATTTATTTCTAATATACATTGCTGAAAACGTTATGCTCAAGTTCTTGAAGCTGTCTTTATGTGTCTTGAAGTTATTTAATTGATGACAGATAATAATAATTAATTAATATTCATGTTAATTGTCAGTTATAATTTTACATAACTAGATACTTATATTTAAACTTTTTCATTAATCTTCAAAAGAAAATGTCATAATTTTCTATATTAAAGACATTATATATCAATACAAAGGCATTTATTGCATCATTAATATGACAATAAGTGTTCATAAACCATTGAAAACAAGCTATGTCTAATATAAATTTAAGAAAATAAATCCATCTTTAACTTAAATAAATACAAGTTTGTTCACAGGAAAGCAGAAACTACTACTAATACCACTAACTTTCTGTTCCAATGCATATGTCACTCATTGTTCGGCAGATCTACACTGTCACATTACAGCTACTAATTGAAACACCTTTGCTCAGTTACAACTGTTAACTCTGCTGAATGCAACCATTGTAATTTGACTGACTTATAACCAAGAAGAGAGTTTTCATTTACAGGGCAATAAATCAATTAATGGCTTATTGACATCAGTAGTACTAGTAGTAATAGTTAGTTAGTGTGGGCTGCACTGAGGATCTACTCTGACTTTGAAAGATAACACCTTCCTCACAAATTTCATACAAAGCAAATTTTAATCAGTCTAAGTTGAGATAATTTACAGCAAGTTTCTGAAATTTGATATGTTTATTTTTGTATTTTTGAATCAAATTACAATAAAATAAACATAAAAAAGCATTCCATGAGTATTTTACATCATTAGAAAGAAGAAAAAAATGCAGAAATTAAACATATAATTGTAGTTTTTAATGTAATACTGACAGTTTCATAATTTTAGAATAAAAACTAGTTTGTTTTTACAACATAACTCATTTGTTTCTTTTTTCATACACCCTCAAGAAAATTAAATTAAATCAGCATGCTGGCATTCCCAGGATAAACTGATTTACAAATTTTTACCATATAGAAATATCTGATTTCAGGGTATTCCTGATAAGACCAACATGCTGGACAATTTGTGAAAATACAATATTATTGGGAGTTCATACTTTCAATATTACCTTTAATAGTAAATTGTGGAGACAAAGCTTGATGAATAATCTTCAAACATATTAAAACACAAAATTACATTATCTAGTTATTTAAAATTTTTAAGATATATATTACTTACTGTCGTCATACAGTTTACCATGAACTTCAATATCTTGAACATCAATTGTTTTCATTTTGTTGTCTCCATTCCAAATCTGTGATATAAACTTTAATTTAATTAAATTTGTTTTATGTAGCAAAAGTAAACTTATTTTAGTTTTACAGCTACTAGACCTTTTTTTACCAATACTTTAAAATATGATTAGACTATAATTATAATAAAAATTCTTCAATGAAACAGAAAAAAAAAATATATTAAAAAGTTCAAATGCAAGTACTATATAATAATCATCATGAATCAAAAATTTCTAAATAGAATTTAGTTTAATTTCCATTCAGAATTTTTTGACTCCTGATAATGGGAATATATTCCAAAGTTCTTGAACCTTTTCCTTATAATTTTTTCTGCTCAATTAAAGAACTTTTATTATAATTTTCAATATTTTTTAAATGTTAATCTTATATACTTTAATTAGAAAAACTTTCAAATGAAATTTATCCACTTTAAAGAATGTGTGTATTAAGACAAATAAGAACAAAACATTTAATTAAAATTCACCAAAATTTAATGAATCACTAAAACTTATAATAAATATTCTATTAAAAATTTTGAGAGATTAGATAAATAATAGATGTCATCCAATAAAATCTGTAGTTGTCAATTTATTTATTGATTGTAAGAGAGAAAATGGACTGACATTATTCTAATGGAATGATGTAAGGCAATGACATTTAAATATGAAAAATGAAAAAGAAAGCTTAAATATTTTGAAAAATATATATTTCTTGTTAGACTATACATACAAATGAGTCCAAATCCTTCAGTCCTTTCACACCTGTTAATACCTCTACAAGTGTGTGAAAGGACTGAAGGATTTGGACTCATTTGTATGTATAGACTAATGTGAGACCCGAAAGGCCCTGGGTCTAATTTAATAATTTTTATTAATAATGGTAAAAAATCGACACAAAATATTACTTCATTTTTGTGAAAAACTAGTGTTTTGGACGTGGGAAAAAACCAGATAACAGATGCTACTTCCTTTCACAGAAGAGAACATCCTCTGACTTTCCCTTATCTGGTTAAAAATCTCACTCAGATGGGAAATGGTTACCCCTCATTCGTTCCCCTTTCGTCCATTCTCATGAAAGAGTTACTGGCCAATGATTGGTCGGTATTCCGAAGATATACAGGGAACTTTGCAGAATTCGGGGAGTTCTTCGACAGATCCGAAGCGTCAAACTCCACACAGTTTATCTCCTGATGACCAACGCCTTAAACGAGTCCCATAGACTAAGTCCCGAGTCTGAACTTAGTAAATATACTTTTATATTTGTGCACTTATCGATCTCCCATACGAAGAAGTAAATAAACTTTATCTCCAAAGTGTCCATACAGAGAAGAAGACGAACGACACCTAAACAGGTCGTATGTTTTAAAACGACTTTTGTGAGCTCTCTCTCTCGATCGCGAATAGAGTATAATATAAGTATAGATAACTCTCGGTTTAATATTATTTGTAGTAGTTTTGTCTCTCGTTTATCCACATTTTGTATGATTTATTTTCTTGTTTTATTAAATTTATTATCTAGTTTATAATTAAATGACCCTTTATTCTGTGTCGAATCAGATCTCACACGCGTGTTTGTCCGCGGAATTTAATTGACAAACTGGTGTCAGTCCTGACGAGCATCTGAACTCCACAGTTCAGATCTACTAGCGATTATCGCCCTCCTATAAGAACTTTTAAGATCGGATCTCGCGATCTGAAACTAAGGAGACAGATTTCGGTTAATCTAAGCCTAGTAAGTGATACAGGCGTAATAGAGCTACCCTGTACCCCAGGCTACTCTCACACTAACAAGAAATACATTTTTTCTAAATGTGAAATCATCCTGGCAATTTTTATTGTAAATCTTAAGTATATTATAAATTCTTATACAGTAAGATCTCATTTAATGCTTAGGATGCATTCCTGATGTCAAAGTACTAAATGGAACAGTGTTAAACAAGGTCATTTTAACATATAGTAAATTGGGAAAGGGGAACATTCGACCAAAAATAAACAAATTTTACTTTAAGCTATTTTTATATTAATTTGCATAATAATATATGTTCCATAATGCAAACATAGGCACACAGAAATGTGAGATCCCAAAAACAGGTTGAAATTAACATTTACTATTACAAATTTATTAAAATGAAACTAGAGAAAAAATTGCCCATTGTTAAAAACCAATCAAAGATTGGATTAGTCGTGCTAATCATATGAAACCGCGACGAGAAAAAAACGCTATTGATGTAAACAGAACACAATAATTATAAATGATTAATAACTGTAAATGAACGCCCTCCAGTAGAGATGGACCTTTGACAAGTCGCTTGTATACAAATAATTAGAACATAAAAATTTTGGAAAGGGGAAAGGTTAATGATGAAAAGGGACATAGCGTCAATTCTTTAAATTTCAAAAATGCCACAGACTAGACAACAATGGGGGGAAAAATATAAGCGCAGGTTCCAAAGTTCTATCTGCACTTTCCATCCAGAGTTAACAACTGGTGTCAAGTAGATTCTTTGAAGCAGATCTTTCACGTGACACAAACAGGAATCGTCTTTTGCTTAGAGACAGTTGAGGGACTAATCAGGGAATGGAAAAAGGGATGTGAAGCCAATCAGAATAAACAAATTGGAGAACAGCGATTGATATAATCCCCGATCTTCAAGGACAGACTCACTTTCTGTAAACTGTGCAACTGTGCACCTGCACACGGTTAGTCAACGCTAAAAAGAAGTTTTCCGTCTTTTGTGCCCAACTTGTAACCTGTGTCAGTATGGACTCAGACCGCCGACACCGACTGATGAATCTCCACACCTTCTCTGCCCTGGGTCCTACCTTCGAGCAACATTAGAAAACAACCTCGAAATTCGAACATTCAATTGTTTAAAGAACATTTTTGTTTCATAGTGTAAGTTATTTTATGTTTAAAATAAACAGGTTTTCGTGAGATTCTTGTCATCTGTGTCTCCTCTGCCACACCCACACGTGAACGACCCTAGATCATCCTAATGAGGGACTAACGGTTCCTTCTGGAAGTCGACAAACTTACAGAAATATAAATTGTGATGAAGGTCCTTGCTCTTCTGAAATTCTTGATTTTTTTGCAATGAAGTCGTTATAGTGTCATTTGTTGCATTCTTTTTCTTTCATTAAGCAAATGTTGGTAGCAGGAGATTGTATGCAAAATGCCTCATCTTGCTTTTGCACTCCTTTCAAAATCTGGATCATTCACTACAATTTGATCAACAATTTCAGTTATCATTACCATATTTTTACTAAGGAAATATGTAGCAAGTGTTTTGGGTTCTTTGTTTTCAAAATCACTATTTTTCAGTTCTAGATGAATTCCTTGTTCTACCAGTTCTTGAAGGTTGTCATTGGTAAGGCTCTCACCAGAAACCTGCAGTAACTGCTCAATATCCTGCTCATCTACATCTCCTAGTCCTGCTATATCGATTAGGTTGACAATTTCGTCAACGATAGGCTTATTTCGTTGAGAATCCTTGGATACCACCAGCCTTCTTTCACACACTGTTCGTGCATTTCAGTTAATTCTTGCCAAGCAAAGTCAATATTGCCTATGGCATCCATGACATTATATTTTTTTTTTTTTTCAAAACAGCACCAAACAAACATAGATTTAGGGGAAGTACAACACTATGACAAATCACCACATTTTGTTCATTGGTTCATGTTTGAGAATAATTGTATTATATATGAATAAATGAAATGCCATGATAATTTCAGTCAGCATAAATTTTGAGCTTTTTTTGGCTTCGAGCAGACCGCATTATATCAAATCAGCATTAATTGAGGAAGTATTAAACAAGGTCTTACTGCATGTAATATAATTAGTTTATTATTTTATCGTATCATTAATATTATTACTATTACTATTCCCCACATTTAAATTTATAAAACAAGAGATTAAAAATTGTCACTTCATTTCCTGTTTAGCAAAAGCAAGTATCTGTAGATTTAATTTTTTTACATTGTTAAATAAAAGTTTTATTTCTTCATATTTATTTTCAGATATAGTGGTATTGTTATATATATTTCAAGTGTAACAAACGCGAGGAAATTGTCCATAATATTAACAATTAAAAAACTAAAACATTATGAAAATGGGATAGCATAGTTTCATCACTTGTCTTTTTGTCCACATGCAGTAACATCTGAAGCTTATTCACTTGTAATGACATAGTATGTAATCATGAATGAAAATATCTGAAAATAAATGTGAAGCATTAAAAGTTTTATTTAATGACATAAAAGAATTAAATCTACAGAAACTTGTCTTCACTGAACAGAAAATGGCATCACACTGTTTAATCTTGTTTTATAAACTTTATATGTGAGGAATAATATTAGTAATAATAATGCTAAATATATGGTAAAAATAATTATGTCACACATACAAAAAACTAAAATTGCAAAAGTTTGAATCTACATCATCTAGCCCCAGTGCCTAGCATCTTATCCACTCAGCTATTTCTGGTCATAGATGTAAAAGTTTCAAAGACTTATAAGCTAAAAACTTAATTTTCAAAGGCTAATTTTTGGAAATGATTGAGAAGTGAGTATTTAGGGCTTTGTACTCACTACATTTCATTCAAATAGAAGACCCAACATCTGGCCTTCTACTTGTTAGCAATAGGAATAATTTTTGAATAATTTTTTAATGAATAATTCTGAATAATACATTTGATCACAATGTTTAAACAATATTTCACATTGACAGCTTTTAATGGACTTTCCAAATTATGTAATGCGTGTGGTTGGAATACAGAACAAATTAATAAAATTGAATAAATAATATTTATTTATTCAATATTTCACATGTTCTGTTATGTCAAAATTTTTGTTTTAGTCTACTGAAAAAAAATCAAAGTGAAAAAAGTCACCCAAAAAATTCCCCAAATTTTGTGTCAGTCAATAAAAAATCCCAATCTGGAAATGCTGGGTGGCATTGCATGAAAACTGCCTTCGGTGCTTAGTGTCACTTCCTACTTTTCTGCCTGAACTTGCTGTGT